CCTGCCCCAGACGGCCCCCAAATGGGCTCCAAGACGGCCAAGATGCCTCCAAGACGGCCAAGATGGCCTACAAGACGGCTCAGATCGCCCCAAGATGCCTCCAAGACGGCCCCAGATGCACCCAAGTCGACCCAAGATGGCCCAAAACGGCCCAAGAGGCCCCTAAGAGGCCTCCAAGACGGCCCAAGAGGCCTCCAAGAGGTCCTCCAGGAAGGCCCGAAGAGGCCAAAATCATTGATTTTCCTAAAGTTTTTGAAGGATTTGGGGATTTGCTTCTTCTCGGCCTTCCGACGGCTCAAGACGGCCCAAGAGGCCCCCAACATCGCCCAAGAGGCCTCCAAGATGGCCTCAGGACTGCCCAAGAGGCCCCCAAGACGGCCCCAAGAGAGCCCCAAGAGGCCTCCAAGACGGCCAAGATGGCCTCTCAGACGGCCAAGATGGTCCTAGACGGCCTAGATGGCCTCCAAGTCCGCCCAAGAGAGGAGATGCCTCCAAGTCCGCCCAAGAAACCTTCAAGACGGCCCAAGACGGCCCAACAGGTGCCCAAGAGGCCTCCAAGACGGCCCAGGAGGCCTCCGAGAGGTCCTCCAGGAGGGCCCGAAGAGGCCTAAATCATTGATTTTCCTTAGGTTTTTGAAGGATGCTCGTATTTGCTCCTTTTCGGCTTTCCGACGACCCAAGACTGCCCAAGAGGCCCCCAAGATCGCCCCCACAGCGCCCAAGAGGCATCCAAGATGGCCTCAGGACTGCCCAAGAGGCCCCCAAGACGGCCCCAAGAGGGCACAAAGACGACCCACGAGGCCTCCAAGGCGCCCAAGATGGCCTCTAAGATGGCCTCTAAGACGGCCCCAAGTCGGCCCAGAGAGGCCCCCCAAACGGCTTCCGACGGCGTCAGACGGGCGAGGAGCCCACCAGGACGGCCGAAGTTGGCTCGAAGCTGGCCGAAGACGGCCCAAGAGGCCTCCAAGAGGGCCTCCAGGAAAACCAAAAACATTGTTTTTCCTAAGGTTTTTGACGGATTTTGACATTTGCTTCTTTTCGGCCTTCCGACGGCCCGAGACGGCCCAAGAGCCCCCAAAGATCGCCGAAAGATCGCACAAGAGGCCTCCAAGATGCCTCCAGAACTGCCCAAGAGAGCCCCAAGACGGCCCCAAGAGGCCCCCAAGACAGCACAGGAGGCCTTTAAGACACCCAAAATGGCCTCCAAGACTGCCCTGGAGCAGTCCAAGAGGGCCCCAAGTCGGCCCAGAGAGGCCCCCCCAAACGGCTTCCGACGGCGTCAGACGGACCAGGAGCCCACCAAGACGGCCGAACATGGCCCTAAGATGGCCCAAGACGGCCCAAGAGGATCCAAGAGGGCCTCCAGGAAGGCCCGAGAAGGTCAAAATCCGTGATTCCTCATGGGTTTTCGAAGGTTTTTGGCATTTGCTTGTGTTCTCCCTTCCGACGGCCCGAGACGGCCAAGAGGCCCAAGAAATGCCCCCAAAGATCGCCCAAGAGGCCCAAGACACGGCCCCAAGAGGCCCCCAAGACGGCCCAAGAGGTCTCCAAGACGTCCTCCAAGAAGGCCCGAAAGGGTCAAAATGGCCTCCAGGCGGCCAAGATGACCTTCAAGATGCCCACGTGTTCCCCGAAGGCTCTCCAAACCGATTCGGGGAACACATGGTCCGATAGCTTGGCAAGTCTGGCCTCAACGTTCGGCCACCTTGGCGCTTCCAAAAAGACAAGGGGCGGCGGTGATTCGCCGTAGGCGTCTTAGATCCGCCGGCCCCTTTCGATTTATCAAAGGGGTGCCTGGAGTGCCGAATTATATGACTTTTGGGTTGGCTTCGTTTTCCAGAAGAACTTCCCCTGGGGCTTCGGCCCGTCCAGCCCGGGTCCCGGGAGGTTGCCGAAAATTGCTCCGTCGGTCGTCGCCGTTGCTGCCCCAAGATGGCCCAAGATGGCCTCCAAGACCGCGAAGATGTCTCCAAAACGGCCAAGATGGCCCTAATATGCCTCCAAGACGGCCCAAGATGCACCCAAGACGGCCTAAGATAGCCTGAAGATGGCCCAAAACGGCCCAAGAGGCCCCCAAGAGGCCTCCAAGACGGCCCGAGAGGCCTCCAAGAGGTCCTCCAAGAAGGCCCGACGAGGCCAAAATCATTGATTGTCCTTAGGTGTTTGAAGGATTTTGGCATGTGCGCCTTCTCGGCTTTCCGACGGCCCCAAACGGCCCAAGAGGCTCCCAAGATCGCCCCAAGATCGCCCAAGAGGCCTCCAAGAGGGCCCCATGACGGCCCAAGTGGCCTCCACGACGGCCCCAAGAGGGCCCCAAGGCAGCCCAAGAGGCCTCCAACACGCCCAAGATGGCCTCCAAGACGCCCAAGATAGATGGCCTCCAAGACGGCCGCGAAGCACCCCAAGAGGGCCCCAAGTCGGCCCAGCGAGGCCCCCAAGACGGCTCAGACGGCGTCAGACGTGCCAGGAACCCACCAAGATGGCCGAAGTTGGCTCGAAGCTGGCCCAAGACGGCCCAAGAGGCCTCCAAGAGGGCCTCCAGGAAGGCCCCGAAAGGCCAAAATCCTTGAGTTTCCTAAGGTTTTCGACGGATTTTGACATTTGCTTCTTTTCGGCCTTCCGACGGCCCGAGACGGCCCAAGAGCCCCCAAAGATCGCCGAAAGATCGCACAAGAGGCCTCCAAGATGGCCCCAGAACGGCCCAAGAGAGCCCCAAGACGGCCCCAAGAGGCCCCCAAGACAGCACAGGAGGCCTTTAAGACACCCAAAATGGCATCCAAGACTGCCCTGGAGCAGTCCAAGAGGGCCCCAAGTCGGCCCAGAGAGGCCCCCCCAAACGGCTTCCGACGGCGTCAGACGGACCAGGAGCCCACCAAGACGGCCGAACATGGCCCTAAGATGGCCCAAGACGGCCCAAGAGGCATCCAAGAGGGCCTCCAGGAAGGCCCGAAAAGGCCAAAATCCGTGATTCCTCATGGGTTTTCGAAGGTTTTTGGCATTTGCTTGTGTTCTCCCTTCCGACGGCCCGAGACGGCCAAGAGGCCCAAGAAGTGCCCCCAAAGATCGCCCAAGAGGCCCAAGACACGGCCCCAAGAGGCCCCCAAGACGGCCCAAGAGGTCTCCAAGACGTCCTCCAAGAAGGCCCGAAAGGGTCAAAATGGCCTCCAGGCGGCCAAGATGACCTTCAAGATGCCCACGTGTTTCCCGAAGGCTCTCCAAACCGATTCGGGGAACACATGGTCCGATAGCTTGGCAGGTCTGGCCTCAACGTTCGGCCACCTTGGCGCTTCCAAAAAGACAAGGGGCGGCGGTGATTCGCCGTAGGCGTCTTCGATTCGCCGCCCCCTGTCGATTCATCGCAGGGGTGCCTGGCGTGCTGGACTTCTTACGGTTTTGGTTTTGGTTTTTTCCAAAAGAACTCCCCCTGGGGCTTTGGCGCGTCCCGCCGGCCACACGGAAGGATGCCAAAAGATCTTCCAGAAGTGGTTGCAAAAGGTTTTCCGTTCCAGGCGGCTCCAAGATGGCCCCAAAATGGGCTCCAAGACTGCCAAGATGGCTTTCAAGACGGCTAAGATGGCCCCAAGATGCCTCCAAGACGGCCCAGGATGCACCCAAGACGGCCTAAGATGGCCTCAAGATGGCCCCTCGGACGGCCCAAGAGGCCCCTAAGAGGCCTCCAAGACGGCCCAAGAGGCCTCCAAGAGGTCTTCCAGGAAGGCCCGAAGAGGCGAAAATCATTGATTTCCAATGAATGTTTGAAGGATTTTTGCATTTGCGCCTTTTCGGCTTTCCGACGGCCCAAGACGGCCCAAGAGGCCCCCAAAGATCGCCGCAAGATCACCTCTAAGAGGCCTCCAAGATGGCCCCATGACGGCCCAAGAGAGCCCCTCAAGACGGCCCCAAGAGGGCCCCACGACGGCCCAAGCGGCCTCGAAGACGCCCAAGATGGCATCTAAGACGGTCCTGGAGCACCCCAAGAGGGCCCCTAGTTGGCCCAGAGAGGCCCCCTAAACGGCTTCCGACGGCGTCAGACGGGCGAGGAGCCCACCAAGACGACCGAAGATGGCCCTAAGATGGTCCAAGAGGGCCCAAGAGGCCTCCAAGAGGGCCTCCAGGAAGGCCAGGAAAGGCCCAAAACACTAGTTCTCCTTAGTTAAAGGATGTTGGCATTTGCGCCTTTTCGGCCTTCCGACGGCCCAAGACGGCCCAAGAGGCCCCCAAAGATCGCCGCAAGATCACCTCTAAGAGGCCTCCAAGATGGCCCCATGACGGCCCAAGAGGCCCCCCAAGACGGCCCCTCGGACGGCACAGGAGGCTTTTAAGGCAAGAGGGCCCCAAGTCGGCCCAGAGAGGCCCCCCAAACGGCTTCCAACGGCGTCGGACCGGCCAGGAGCCCACCAAAACAGCCGAAGATGGCCCATGGCCCAAGACGGCCCAAGAGGCATCCAAGAGGGCCTCCAGGAAGGCCCGCAAAGGCCAAAATCAGTGATATCCAATGAGTTTTTGAAGGATTGTGGCATTTGCGTTTGTTCTGCCTTCCGACGGCCCTAGACGGCCCAAGTGCCCCCAAAGATCTCCCAAGAGGCCCAAGACGGCCCCAAGAGGCCCTCAAGACGGCCCAAGAGGCCTCCAAGACGCTCAAGATGGCCTCCAAGACGGCCCAAGAGTCCTCCAAGACATCCTCCAAAAAACCCCAAACAGAGTCAAAATAATCTCCAAACGGCCAAAATGACCTCTAAAATAACCTTCAAAATACCAACGTGTTCCCCGAAGGCTTTCCAAACCGATTCGGGGAACACATGGTCCGAGAGCTTGGCAGGTCTGGCCTCAACGTTCGGCCGCATAGGCGCTTCCAAAAAGGCAGGGGGCGGCGGTGATTCGCCGCAGGCGTCTTCGACAATCAGGCCCTCAGCAGCAACCCTCCGCGGCCGCCAGTTCCCCAAAGGGTCGGCGGCGTGGCGTGAGCCCGTGACTCGCCTGCCTGCCACCTCCCCTCCTTTTTTTCCGAGCGGCCGCGCATCACGGTCCGACGCCCCCTGCGGGATGCGCCGCCGCGGCGGGGGCGACGAGCCTGGGCCTGCCCCTCCTCCGGAGGCGGGGAGAGGAGCAGGAGATGGAGGGGGAGAGGAGGGGCAGAAGAGAGGAGGTGCTAGGTGCGCTCGCGCCATACCTGGGATCCGACCCCTCCCACCCATCCGTTCCCAATGCACAGATTTCATCTCCTTCCACGGACGCGTGTCATAGCGGATGTAGAGCTCCCAAAAAGGCCTCATCGTTGTGCGCAATCGGATAGGGGAGCTGCGTACATAGTAGTAGTAGTAGTAGTAGGAGGAGGAGGAGGAGGAGGAGGAGAACGAGGAGGTGGCGGATAAGCAAGAGGGTGAGAAGGAGTGAAAGGAGGAGGAGGAGGAGGAGGAGGAGGAGAAGGATGAGGAGGACGAGGACGAACAGCAGGAGGATAGGGGAAGGGGGCGGGAAGAGCAGGAGGATAGGGGTAGGCGGATGGGAAAAGGAGAGGGGCAATAATGATGAGGAGGCCCGCGCTGGGGTGAGAGCACAATTCTTAACGACTGGGCCATAGTGCCGATCACAAAATGAAGCCAAAGCTGCAGCGGCAGTACCATGTAGAGACGCCACACATGTCTGGCATGAACAAAGAACAGACAAGACAGCATAATGAAATCAGGTGTGGAAAACACTACGCGGAGAGGACGGGCTACTCCCGGGCCGTCTTCGGGGAAGCCCACCAACCCTTTTAGGCGAGAGTGGTTTAGAAAATGTCCTATTTCAACCTTCCTCTTACCCGCCGGGGAAGAGTTGATCACCGTTCCTTATTAATCAACACCCCGGCCTCCAGGCGACTGGCAGCCAACCCAGAAAAATGCGGACCCCCCCCTTATCATCCCCGGCCAAAGACAATGCAACGCGCACTACGCCTCTACATCTGGAGCATTCGCGGGCGCCCCGCGACCACTTCACATAGTTGTTTGACAGGGACGGCGGGGATGCTGGCACATTGCTTGCTGCGCGCAGGCAAACCATCCCTGTCAAAAGCCATAAAAATTCCACTTCGGCTCCAAATCTGGAGCATGCGCAGGGCGCTCCACGATTCCTCAATATGTCAGTTTGTCCAGCGGTGCCGGTGCTTTGCGTTCCCTGGAGGAGCCGCCCTTTTCATAGAATGCTCAGCACTTCGCGTCAGGGGGATTGAAGATCCTGAGCTCCTTGGGCCCAGGCCGCAGGCACCTGGGGTCCCTATTGATTCCCCGTAGCTGGCGCACCTGGCGCGGCTGGAGTACGTGGCACAGCTGGCGCACGTAGAGCACGTGCCGCACCTGGCGAGCCTGGCACGCTTGGGCCTCCAGGGTGGCTGGCGCATCTGGAACCCGTGGCGCGCATGGCATGTGTGGCGCTCCTAGGCTATATGCTGATACTCGGGGCTTACTTATGTGTTGGGGGGGCGGGTGGGAGTGAGCTAGACGGCTTGCAATCTGGGAGGGTACCTGAATCACTGTTCCCTATTAATAAACACCCCCTCTCCCAGGCGACCGGCAGCCAAACAGGAACCATGAGAACCCCATGTCCACACACACACAACATCCCTGGCAACAACACAATACAAAACGCACTCTGCCTCCACATTTGGAGCAAGCGTGGCCAACCCGATTCGCCCCCCCACCATCCCTTTCAAAACACAATACAAAATACAAGTTGGGGCAAAGTCTTGAGTCATGTTCGTGAGGCCCGCGAGCACTCACTTTGTAGTTTGTTTTACAAGGACGGCGGGGGTGTCAGCAGATTGCCTGCTGCGCGTAGGGCTACCATCCCTAACAAAAACACACACACATGCACCTCGCGGCTAAATCTAGATCATGCGCGGCCACCCCGCGATCTTTCTCAAGTGGTTTTTGAAAGGGACGGCGGCCGTGTTGGCGTATAGCCTGCTGTGCGCAGGCCCACCAGACACAATGATGGGCATTGGTTTTCGATAAGGATGGTGGGGGCCGACATGTTTCCCGATGTGTTCTGTCACGTGCGCAGGCGCACCTGACACACTCTGCACGTGCAACAAACGTGGCGCACCTGACGCGGCTGGAGTATGTGGCACACCTGGCCCACGCGGAGAACATGGCGCATCTGGCGCACCAGGCGTGCCTGGCACGCTCGGGCCCCAAGGGTGCCTGGCGCGCGTGGCGCACCTAGCAAGCGTCGCGCACCTCGCCCCAGTGTCGCGCACCTGGGGTCGGCTTTGGTTCCCAGTAATTGCCCACTCCGTGTGGGAGGGCGGGTGGGAGTGAACTAGACGGCTTGCTATCCAAGGGATAGCTTGATCACTTTCCACATTGATATACACGCACCCTCCCCCAGGCGACCGGCAGCCAACCAGGAACCATGCGGGCCACCCGACCATCCCTATCAAAAACAATACAAAACGCACTCTGCCTCCACATGTGGAGCATGTGCGGCCAATCCGATGCGCCCCCCCCCCACCATCCCTGTCCAAAAAACAATACAAAGTACACTTTGGGGCAAACTCTTAAGTCATGTTCGTGAGGCCCGCGAGCACTTTGTATTGTTGTTGACAGGGAAGGTGGGGGTGTCAGCATATTGCCTGCTGCGCGCAGGCCTGCCATCGCTAACCTATAAAATATACAAATGCACCTCGCGGCTAAATCTAGAGAATGCGCGGCAACCCCGCGATCATTGTCAAGTGGATTTTGAAAGGGACGGCGGCCGTGTTGGCGTATGGCCTGCTGTGCGCAGGCAATGATGGGCATTGATTTTCGATAAGGATGGTGGGGGCCGACATGTTTCCCGATGTGTTCTGTCATGTGCACAGGCGCACCTGACACACTCTGCACGTGCCCCGAACGTGGCGCACCTGACGCGGCTGGAGTATGTGGCACACCTGGCCCACGCGGAGAACATGGCGCATCTGGCGCACCAGGCGTGCCTGGCACGCTCGGGCCCCAAGGGTGCCTGGCGCGCGTGGCGCGCCTAGCACGCGTCTCGCACCTCGCCCCAGCGTCGTGCACCTGGGGTCGGCTTTGGTTCCCAGTAGCTGCCCACTCAAGACGACGGCTGAACATGCTCAGGCTCGGGTGTTACTTACGTGTGGGAGGGCGGGTGGGAGTGAACTAGACGGCTTGCTATCTAGGGGGTGTCTTCACCCCTCCCCCATACCCCCTCCCCTGAACCTGGAGGGGGGGGGGGATCGCGGGCCGTTGGAGCGTCCAGCGCGGCCTCGGCGAGAAGGCTAAAATCATGTTTGTGACACAGGTTTGGGCCACATGTTGGCATCCTGGGGGGGCAACGCTGATCGAGTACGACCCGTCCGTTGATCGATCTCCTCCAAGATGGTCCCAAGATGGCACCCGAGGCTCCCCAGGGTGCCCCAAGACGGCCGCAAGAGGTGCCCAGGCGGCCCCAAGAGTCCCCCAATACGCCCCTACGATGTCCTCAAGTTGCTGCCAAGAGACCCCCAAGAGGCCCAAAGAACTCCCCAGAGGCACCCAAGATCCCGAAGAGGCCCCTGGGACTGCCACGAGACCCCCGAGACACCCCAAGAGGACTCTGAGAAGCTCTAAAGACATCCAGCGAGACTCCATGGGGCATCCAAGAGGCCTATGGCCTTTCTGATCGCCCTCCTCCTCCTCCTCTTCCTCATCCGCCTATTCCTCCTCCTCCCTCCTCCCTCCTCCCTCTCCTCCTCTCCGTATTCCTCCTCCTCCTGCTCCTCCTCCGATTCCTCCTCCATCCTCTTCTCTCTTGGAATATGATGTCTTACCCAACCCTTTATTCTGCTGAATGCTACACCCCTGATCAGGGCAAATCGTCTGGGCATCGTCTCTGGATGGGCAGGCGGAGCTTCGCGAAGAGTCTAGAATAGACGAGAGTGGGTGTTCTCAGGTCGAGCAAGTGTGCAAAGGAAAGGAGGCGAGCGAGGAAGAGGCGACCGTCTAGAATAGATGAGAGGAGGTTTTGTCATGTTTATCGAGCAAGTGTACAAGTGGAAGGAGGCGAACGAGAAAGAGGCGGAGGAGGGCGAGGCGGACGAGAAGGAGACGGGGGAACCGGGAGGACGCGGAGGACGCGGAGGACGCGGAGGAGAGCGAGGACGACGAGGAGGAGAGCGAGGACGAGGAGGACGAGGAGGACGACGAGGAGGACGAGGAGAACGAGGAGGAGAGCGAGGACGAGGGCGGAGACGACAGATGGCGGGGCAGGGGCCCGCGGGGTCGAGGGCGCGGCGACAAGGCAAGACCAGGCCGCGCGGCGGCCAGAGCCAGGGCGACGGTCGAGATTTGGCCTCCCGCTTCCGCAATCCTCGTCCTCCTCCCCCCTTCAACCCTCGCCCCCGCCTCCCCTCCTCCTCCTCGTCCTCCTCCTCCTCCTCCTCCTCCTCACCATCATCATCACCACCACCACAAACCACCAGCCAACACCATCAACCTCAACACAACTTTCTCGTTCATCAACGCCATGGCAACCACAACCGCACACGTCATCACAACCATCATGTGACACATCACCATACCGTGATAACCATCCGCAGCCGCAGCAGCATGCTCCTCAGCAGCAGCAGCAGCAGCAGCAGCAGCAGCGGCATCATCATCATCATCATCATCATCATCATCATCATCATCCTCCTCCTCCTCCTCCTCCTCCTCCTCATCATCATCATCATCATCATCATCATAATAATAATAATAATAATAATAATAATACTAATAATAATGCTAATAATAATAATAATCATCATCATCATCACCACCATCATCATCATCATCAGCAGCATCATCAGCATCAGCATCATTAACATCAGCAGCATCGTCGTCATAAGCATTACCATCATCACCAGCCGCATCATCATCAGTTTCATAATCATCGACATCATCATCATGCGCAGCGGAATCATCATCATCATCCACTGCGCCAGAAACATCAACATAATCACTATCACCCTCGGATTCATCATCATCGACAACAGCAAAAATAGTCGTCGTCATCATCCTCCTCATCATAAGCAGCATCACCATCAACAGCATCATCGTGATCGTCATCAGCAACACCATCACCATCACCAGTATCATCATCATCCTCCTCCCCATCATCACCATCAGCAACAGCAGCGTCATCATCATTGTCAGCATCAGCATCATCATCAGCATCACCAACATCGTCCACGTCATCATCGCCACCAGCATCATCGCCCGCAGACACACCATCATCATCATAGCCAGCAGCAGCGACAGCCGCGTCATCCTCATCCGCATCCGAAGCATCATCACCATCACCATCTCCGATCATCAACACGATCGTCATCCCAATCCCCATCCCCATCAACACCATCACACTCATCATCCTCACCCTCACCCGCATCCTCCTCATCATCAGCACCCTCACCACCCGCGGCTCACCCTCAGCGACCTTCTCTTTATCCCCCTCCCTCCCCCCACCACCCTTTTATCATCCCCCCTCTCCACGCCACCACCATCCTCACCCCCATTGTTCCCATTCTGCCCTCCAATATCCTCCTCATCCCCGCCTGCTCTAAATCTTCCTGCTCCGTCCTGCTCTACATCCTCCGCCTCCGCCTCATCCTCGTCAGCATTGTCCGCCTGCTCGTCCTGCCCCCCCTCCTCCTTCTCATCGCTCCTCGTCATCGCTCGCCCTCCTCATCCCCATCCTCTTCCTCCTAATCCTCCTTTTATTCCTCGTCCTCGTCGTCCTCCTCTTCCACCTCCTCCTCCTCCTCCTCCTTCTCCGTCCCCTGTTGTTGCTTCCCCATGCACCCGTTCGAGATGCAGGGCCGGATCGTGTCAATGCTTCCCGCCGTGGCCATGGCCGCCCTGACTGGAGTCGCGGGCCCGCGACAGGGGCGGCGCCCGTGTTGGGAACCGCCCTGGCAGTGGTGGCGAGCGACACCTACGCCGAACGCTCTACGCCCTTCCCGTCCAGTATGACTGCTTCTTCTGCGACTGCCATCATCAACGCTACTACCCCTACTACACCTCCTGATAATACTACGACTACGACTGCGACTAGATAAATGCGGCGATTACGGCTACGACTACGACTACGACTACGACTACAATTACGACTACGACTACGACTACGACTACGCCTGCGCCGATTACTACGACTATTACTACTACTAAAACAACTGCTACTACTACTACTACTACTACTACTACTACGACTACTACTACTAATACTACTACTACTACTACTACTACTACTACTACTACTACTACTACTACTACTACTACTACTACTACTACTACTACTACTACTACTACTACTACTACGACTACGACTACGACTACGACTACGACTACGACTACGACTACGACTACGACTACGACTACGACTACGACTACGACTACGACTACGACTACGACTACGACTACGACTACGACTACGACTACGACTACGACTACGACTACGACTACTACTACTACTACTACTACTACTACTACTACTACTACTACTACTACTACTACTACTACTACTACTACTACTACTACTACTACTACTACTACTACTACTACTACTACTACTACTACTACTACTACTACTACTACTACTACTACTACTACTACTACGACTACTACTACTACTACTACTACTACTACTACTACTACTACTACTACTACTACTACTACTACTACTACTACTACTACTACTACTACTACTACTACTACTACTTACTACTACTACTACCACTACTAGTACTACTACTACTGCTACTGCGACCACTACTACTACTACTACTACTACTACTACTACTACTACGGCTACTACTACTACGGCTACTACTACTACTGCTGCTACTACTACTACTACTACTACTACTACTATTACCCTTATTGATATGACTACGAGTCTGTTTACGACGGCTACTACCACCACCAGCACCACTACTACTACTACTACTACTACTACTATTACTACTACTACGACTACGACGACGACGACTACGAATACTACTACTACGGCTGCTACGACTACTATTACTACGGCAACGCGTACAATTACACCTACCACTACTACTACTACTACTACTACTTCTACTACTACTGCTACTACGACTACTACTACTACTACTACTACTACTACTACTACCACTACTCCTGCTACTCCTGCTACTACTATTACTACTACTACTACTACTACTACTACTACTACTACTACTACTACCACGACTGCTACTACCACTACTACTACTAGTACGACTACACCTACCACTACTACTACTACTACTACTACTACTACTACTACTACTACCACCACTACTACTACTACTACTACTACGACTACGCCTACCACCGCTACTACTACTACTGCTACTTCTACTTCTACTACGACTTCTACTAGTACGACTACTACTACTGCGACTGCTACTACTGCTACTACTGCTATTACGACAACTACGACCACTGCTGCTACTATTACTACAGCGACGACCTCTATTACTGCCACTACTACTACTACTACTATTACTACTACTACTACTACTATTACTACTACTACTACTACTACTACTACTACTACTACTACTACTACTACTACTACTATTACTATTACTATTACTACGTCTACTACTACTGCTACTGCTACTGCTACTACTGCAGCCCCTAACTACCACTACTACTACCACTACCACCACCACCACTACGGCTATTACTACTACTACTACTACTACTACCACTACTACTACTACTACTGCTACTACTACTACTACTACTACTACCACTACGACTACGACTACGACTGCGACTACGACTACTACTACTACTACTACTACTACTACTACGACTACTACTACTACGACTCCGACTACCACTACTTTTATGGCTACGACGACTGCTACTACTACTAGTGATACCACTGCTACTACGGCTACTGTTAGTACTATTACTACTACTTCTTCTACGACTACGACTACTACGACTGCGGCTGTTACTACAACCACTGCCATTACTACTGCTACTACTACTACTACTACTACTACCACTTTTACTAAGATTCCCATCAGTGCTAGTATTACTACTACGACTACTACTACTACTACTACTACTACTACTGCTACTACAGCTACTACTACTACTACTACTACAGCTACTACTACTACTACTACTACTACCACTACTACTACTACTACTATTACTAATAATACTACTACTGATACAAGAACTACTGCTACTGCGAATACTTCTACCATTATCACTACTACGACTACTAATACCACTACTACTACGACTACTACGACTACTACTACTACTACTACTACTACTACTACTACTCAATTACGACAACGTCTACTACGACTACGATTTCTACTACGACTACCACTACTACTACTGTTACTACTACTACAACTACTACTATGACTACCGCAACTACTGCACTCCTGCTACTACTTCGGCTACTACGACAATAGCGACAACGACTACAACTACGACTTCTAATACTACTACTGCTACTACTACTACTACTACTACTACTACTACTACTACGACGACTACGACTACGACTACGACTACTACTACTACTACCACTACTACTACCACTACTACTACTACTACTACTACTACTACTACTACTACTCCGACTACTACTACTACTACGACTGCTGCTGAAACTACGAATACGGCTACTACAACTACAACGGCGACGACCACAAGTACTACTACAACTACGACTGCTACTCCGACCACGGCTACGACCACGACTACGACGACGACTAGTACTGCTGCTCCGGCTACGACTACGCCTACGATACTTCGGCTACTACTACTACGACGACTACTACTACTACGACGACCATTACTACTACTCCAACTACTCGCCCTTTTACTCCTACTACTCCTACTACTGCTACTACTTCTCTCACCACTACTGCCACTACTACGAATACGACCACTACAACTACTACTATTACTACTACTACTACTACTACTACTACCACTACTACTACTACTACTACTACTACTACTACTACATCGACTACTACTACTACTACTACTACTACTACTACTACTACTACATCGACTACTACTACTACTACTACTACTACTACTACTACTACTACGACTGCCGCTACTACTACTACTACTACTACTACTACTACTACTACTACTACTACTCTTACTACTACTATGGTTTTTACGACTGCTGCTACTACTACTACTACTACTACGACTACGGCTACTAGTCCTACTACTGCTACGTCTACGACGACTAGTGTTGCTACTCCTACTACCCCTGGTACCCCGACTACCATTTCTACTACGACGACGACTACCTACTACTACTACCACTACTACCACTACTACTACTACTACTACTACTACTACTACTACTACTACTACTACTACTACTACTACTACTACTACTACTCAGCGACTACTATGACTAAGATTACCATTGCTACTAGTACTACGATTACGACTACTACGACTATTACCACGACTACTACAACTACGACTACGACTGCTACTACTACTACAGCATCCGAATGTAGCCCCTACGGCGACGATCAAGAGTACTACAACTACGACTACGAATACGACTACCTCTACGAGTACTACTACTACGACAACCACTACTACTACAACTACCACTACGGCTACGACTACGACGGCCACTACCACTACGACTACGACTACGACTACTACTACTACTACTAATAAAAATAATAAGAATAAGACCACTACTACTACTACTACTACTCCTACTACTACTACTACTACTACGGCTACTACTTCTACGACCACTACGGCTACTACGACTACCACCACCACTACTACTACTGCTACTTCTACTACTACTACTACTACTACTACTACTACTACTACTACTACTACTACTACTACTACTACTACTAGAACTACTACACATAATACGACTACCACGATTCCTACTTGCACTACTACGACTACGACAATTACTACTGCTACGACCACTACTACTATTACTACTACGACTACTACCATTACTGCGACTTCCCCTGCTACTATTACTACTCCTACCCGTACTCTTAGTACTACTAGTATAACTCTTACTACTACTACTACTACTACTACTACTACTACTACTACTACTACTACTACTACTACTAATCCGGCTACTACTACCACTACTGCTACTACGACTGCGACTACCACAACTGCTACTACTGCCGCGGCCGCTGCGACTACTACAACGACGACCATCACGACTACTACGGCTACTACGACTACTACGACCACGCCTTAACCGATCGCCAAAAACTACTACCACGACAGCCCCACGACTACTACAACTACTACGACTACTAGGACGACTACTACTACTACTACTACTACTACTACTACGTTTACTACTTTTACTACTACTACTACTACTACTACTACTACTACTACTACTACTACTACTACTACTACTACTACTACTACTACTACTACTACTACTACTACTACTACTACTACTACTACTACTACTACTACTACTACTACTACTACTACTACTACTACTACTACTACTACTACTACTACTACCTACTACTACTACTACTACTACTACTACTACTACTACGGCTAACGCCACAGCTACGGCTACGACTACTACTACTACTAAGACTACTAAGACTAATACTACTAATACTAGTACCACCACCACTACTACTACTACTACTACTACTACCACTACTACTACTACTACTACTATTAATAATAATTCTACTACTACGACTACTAATACCACTACCAGAACTACTACTACTACTACTACTACTACTACTACTACTACTACTACTGCTAACTACTACTACTACTACTACTACTACTACTACTACTACTACTACTACTACTACTACTACTACTACTACTACTACTACGACTACTACTACTACTACTACTACTACTAACGCTACTACTACTAACACTACTACTACTACTACTACTACTACTACCTACTACTACTACTGCTACTACTACTACTACTAC